GACAAATAGACAATGATTTACATGAGACAATAGTTTATCCTGTTATTTTACTTATTATTATTAATTGACAGTAAATACTAATATTTTATTTTGTATTAATATTTTTTATCAACAATTTAGAAATAATTTAATACTATCGTAATATGGCTGAAGTTTTTTTTGAATAATTTAGGATAATTATAAGGTGGTCTCGGTTCAAAATCTTTTTTAATCATGACAACGTATACACACCCTACAGACGTAACTATTCGAAATTGAAATCTCTATGAAGAACAATACCCTCTTTAATTTATCATTGAGATCACTCAATAAATTAAAACCGGTTAAAAATTAAAATAATTTTGAGTTCATTTCGAGAATATATTTTCAGTGTTCTCCGAGTGTACGAGTATACTTAATGCTTTCATTCAAATTTAATATGATTTTTTTATTGATGGCATTTGATGGAAGGGAACGTGCGGTGCAGCATCCCTATATTCATGCACGAATTGCATGGTTAACCACGTATTTTGAGAATACGTATTCTGCACAGTGCAATCATTGTCATTATCCTTCAAATGCGCTAGAATATCATAGCTATAATTACTGCTGTTAGCCTTACTTTTGCAACTTCCCTATTCGTGTTAGCAATAAACACATTTATTTATTTATTTAGTCAATTTTCCAAATTTATGACTCTTTGGCATTTCGAACATGATTCTAGTCCTTTTTTTCTATTATTGTATTAAATTCACAATTTTAAAAAAGATAAATGTCAATTGAGGATTTTTAATCACACTCTCTATAAATTATTAACTTAATTATATTTTTAAGTCTTCTAAAGGATGATAGGATATTATATCAGTGATTTACATACAAGGTATTCCACTAAGAGGGTGTTCAGTTAGCGGAAAATATCATTATTAAGGGGAATAATATTTTTCATAATTACATTCCCATGTTTGGTTCATGGAAAATGTCATTATTCGGTAATAACTTATGATTGATGGTAATAATTTTTGGTTAAAATGATGAGAATGTCAATACCTCAAAATTCTTAACTATTATATAATTCCAGCCACTTTGAATAAGAATATCTCTAGAATAATGAATTCTTTTCGTATGGATCATTTTCAATTATATTCTTTGTGCTTTACTTAAAATTATAAACATAAATAATATTTTAGTTATTAAAAAATAATACTTATGAAAATTATTTAAAAATATAAGTTTGATATACTAATTATATTAATTATATGTTAAATGTATTTTCCTCAAAAGTTAGATAGTATAACAATTAATTCTATAAATTTGCATTCAAATATTTATAATTTAATATTAAAATTTAACTTGTTGAAAAATACATATATCACAAGAATAATTTGGTAAAATATGTATTCAAGTAATCTCATATTCATCCAATCAAACACTGTAATCTTATATTCATGTTAAACAAACCAAATAAGGTAATACAATATTCCTAGAGTAATGTTATATTCTAATAATTTTATTCTAAAAAATAATCTTACATTCTGTAAACCACACGTATCCTAAATGTAAATTAAATGAAAGTGTATTCCAGTCCAATAAGTTATATATGATAAGAGCATGTGTGTTATTTAACCAGACCGCTTCAAATATATATGTCTCACTTCAAAGAAAGGGTATTCCACTAAAGCTCATTACTTTATATTTTTAAATCTTCAATTATGTACAGGTCTTCCTACGTCATGTGGATCGAAAATAGAGTAATTCTTATGGTTAAATCATAGATATATCAATTTTATAAGTTGATATTAAGAATAATTTCCTTATTTATGGAGAAGTATAAGTATTTTAATGTATTCAATCGATTAAATGAGATAGTTCAATTTACGGCAACATATTTTATGTATTGAAGAAGTATCTCTATACTTTAAGAAAATTCAACAGGTGTGATTACGATATCTTCATCTCGATAGAAGTGATGAGATGAAATTGCTCTTGCTAGGAAAAATACATCTTGACGCTAGTTAAGACAGACTAAAAGAACTCTTATTGATAGAATGAAGACTCTCTAACCTATTAAATAGTTAAAATATTAAAAGTTATTATTAAACTTTAACAAAAATATTATTTAAATTATAATTAAAATGAGAATTATTTAGTCCAGTTTGAACAAAATAAATAATATATTTAAATATAAATATCTAAATTACTCACATCTTAATCCATCCATAAATCAAAGGATAATATATATTATATAGTTAAATGTATTCAATTTCGTGTCTTCCTCTATATTACAATAATAATCATTCCAACAAAGCTAATATTCAATCAACTAACTAAATAAATAATATGATCAATGGATAAGAAATATAGAGAAAGAATTGCATAAAAGGTTCAAAGTACGTTAATGGGGAACAATTATGCAACTTAATAAACATATAAATGATCATAAAAGTACGAACCAGACTACTTTAATGGTTAAAGGAATGATTGTTATCTTTAGAGGTCTCATATTCGAAAACTAGAGAATGCAAGAGTGCTTGAACATTTATTGTCAAATAATTATTATAACATTTATTATATTATAATCACCCTACATTAATAAAAACCAATCGTAAAAATAAAAAAAATATATATAAGGCAAGCCAAAACCTAACTTAAACCATAAAATTTTACAAGTATAATGCTTGACAAACTAAGAAAAGATTTGACTTTACAAAAGAATAATCTTATTCTCTCCCTTTTCAATAGAAAAGGGATATGATTATACAAATAGGAGCCGGAATACCATGAGATATTGTGCCTAGAAACTCATCTAAATCAAATTCAAATTAGTGTGGCTTTTGTCTGGTTCTTACAATTGCTATGAAGTAACAATCATCTGTTTATGTTGGAATCCGAACATCTAAAATGAGTAAATTCCTTCACTTTATTTTTAAATTCATTCCGAAATAAAAAATCACGTCAACAATTTTGTTTATTTATAGCGGGTGACAAAAACGTATAGTTGAGTATAATATTTTAGAGAAATAATTGACTAAAATATAATTACGAGAATAGATGAGTGACTAAATGTGTAACTTGTACAAATAAATATTATAAATGTAAAAGAAATGAAGAGGTGATAATGAGGAATTGAGAAGTAAGATAGGAGCAAAGAGATGCCAAAATAAACAGCAAATACTTTATGAGAAGTGGGCATCTTTGCTTTCCTCTTCATCATTGACCACTCCATCCAACAAACAGATTCCCAATTTTCCATTTCCATTCCATCACATAACAACTCCAAGAAACCCAAATTAATGAAAGAAAATAAGAATTTATTTATAAAGAAAAAGAGTCCGTCTATAAGCCCAATTAACTATTTAACTGTCTAATAATTTTGAAAACAAATTACTTTTAATATATAATAAATTAATAACATTAATCATACCTTTTTTTTATATATTCTGGATATTTATTTTAAAAAATTTAGCCTTCAACAACGTATATACATTCTGCGGATGTAATTGTTCAAAACTTTTAAACAATACAACATTATGTTTTTATCATCGAGACCAGTCAACGAGATATTTAATCATATTATTTTATATATATAACGAAATGAAAATCGAAGTTTACTTGAAATTCTTGGGCACTTTAGATTGACCCACACAAGTTTCAATGACGGTGATCCCCTCACTCTACTCTTTCCGTACCTTAATTAATTTTATTTCTAAAAATGTCATTGATTTATTTTCAACAGTTGGTCCCTACTTGTATAATGCTAAATCCCACAAACGGGATTTCTTATGGAATATATTATTCCCTACCTATCCATCTTTTTCCTGGAAAAAAAAACCTTTCGACATTCTCTATTCTTCTACTTTAACCGTATATTAGTGTGTCGGGAATTACTTAGTTATATCGGTTAAAATTGGTGAAAACAGATAAATGAATGATTGTTTTATTACAAACACATAATATCAATAATTGTTTTATAATTTTTAGAATGTTAATGGTTAAAAAATATCTAAACTTCAATGGACATTGACTTAATTTATCCTATAAACTATTGCTCACATCATACGTGAGAGACTGCAAACAGATTCCCATAACTATTGTGTCAAGAGATGGAATATGACATTGCCATTTTTTTAACACGTGAGAGAGTGCAAGCACATTCCCGTTGTATCATGAGATAAAACCATGGCATTATCAAGAGGGCACCTACTCGAGAGGACATGCCAGCCTCAGGATTGGGTTGCACATTATTCTATCACCTCTATATATGTAAATTAGAGATATTTTATGTTGTATTCATTATTTTATTTAAAAAAAAGAATTTTTAATATATATGATTATGAGTATAAACATGCAAAAATATTTTAAAAAATATATATTTTATATCATACATATATCTATATTGATGCTCATAAATTTCTATGATTCGATAGAAACATAAAATGAAACAAAGAGCTAATTCCAGCATACATCCTTCAATTATGACCTTCATTCTAAATCAGTCTCTAAATTTTTAAACATTTTATTTCATCTCTAAACTATGACCATCAGTCTAAAGCAGTCCTCAAACTTTAAATATTTCAATTTCATCCCCAAATTATGATCTTCATTCTAAATTGGTCTCTAAATTTTTTGAACATTCCAATTTCATCCCAAATTATATGTATATACTAATCACATCCCTTGTTAATAAAATCATTAGTCCAAGTTATATTATTATATGTTTGAAAAAAATAGGTTAAACTATGGTTGAAACTAATTACATATTTGAATGAATTTGGGAATGAAATTGGAAGATTCAAAAGTTTGGAGAGAATCATAGTTTGGGGATGAAATTGGAATGTTCAAAAGTTTATGGACTAATTTAAAATGAGAGTCATAATTTGAGGATGAAATTAGAGTATTTAAAAGTTTAAGGACCAGTTTAAAATTAGGATTATAGTTTGTAGACATATGATGGAATTAACTTAAAAAATATATATGAAAAAGCCTCTTTATGCAAAATATAAGCATAATGAACAGCTCTCCATCTTTCTCACTGCTTAGAGTCTGCTTCTTCTTCTTCTTTCTTTCTTTTTTCTTTATCATTGAGGCTTATTATTAAAGCTGCATTCAACGATTCATTCAATCATCTTATCTCAGTTATATATTCTCTTCTCCGCCTTCTTCTCTGCAACAACCGCCTTAACTGCCACCTTTTTTCCCACACAAATGGAACCCAAAGCTCTTTTTCTGCTTGTACCGCTGCTTACTGTCACGCTTTGTTCTTCTGAAGCTGTAACAGATGATAATCAGTTTCAGTTCTTCAACACAATGAGAGCTTCTCTATCAGGAAAGGCCTTGGCTGATTGGGACATGAAGGGGAAAAGTTATTGTAATTTCACTGGAGTTCACTGCAATGATAAAGGGTATGTTGAAAGCGTTAACCTCTCGGGCTGTTCTCTTTCCGGGGATTTCCCGGCAGACTTGTGCTCGTACCTGCCGGCGTTACGGGTTCTTGATATAAGCCGCAACGATCTCCGTGGCAACTTTCTTAACAGTGTTGTCAACTGCTCTCTCTTGGAAGAATTCAATATGAGTTCTATTTACCTGAGAACAAAACTTCCGGATTTCATCAAAATGACATCTTTACGTGTTCTTGATCTATCGTACAATCACTTTGAAGGTGACTTTCCCATGTCAATAACAAACCTTACCAATCTTGAGGTGTTATACTTCAATGAAGTTGATGAGATAAACTTATGGCAACTTCCTGAGAACATCTCGAGGCTGACAAAACTCAGAGTTATGGTCTTAACGACATGCATGTTGTATGGTCGGATCCCAGCGTCGATAGGAAACATGACGTCACTTATCGATCTTGAATTGAGTGGGAATTTCCTTTCAGGTCAGATTCCAAAGGAGCTTGGTTTGCTTAAGGACTTGGAACAGCTAGAGCTTTATTACAACCAGCACTTGTCGGGGACAATACCTGAAGAACTGGGAAACCTGACAAAGCTAACAGACTTGGACATGTCGGTCAACATGTTGAGGGGAACCATTCCAGAGTCCATATGTCGACTTCCCAATCTTGAAGTTCTTCAAATTTATAACAACAGTCTGACAGGAGAAATCCCTGGTGTTATTGGTGATTCAACAACGTTGACCATTCTTTCACTCTATGGAAATTTCCTGTCTGGACAAATTCCACAGAACATGGGGATCTCATCACCGTTGATTGTTCTTGATTTGTCTGAAAACAAGTTGTCGGGTCCGTTGCCGGCTGAGATTTGTAAAGGAGGTAAATTGCAGTATATGCTCGTCTTAGATAACAAGCTTTCTGGGAAGTTGCCTGAGAGTTATGCAAACTGTAAGTCTCTTATACGGTTTCGGGTGAGTAATAATCATTTGGAGGGTTCAATACCAGAAGGAATTCTAGCTCTTCCTCATGTTTATATCATTGACTTGGCTGACAATGATTTTACGGGCCCTTTTCCAAGATCAATTGAAAACGCTAGGAACTTATCTGAATTGTTCTTGCAGAACAATAAGATGTCTGGTATTTTGCCCCCTGAAATCTCTCTAGCTGTAAATCTGGTGAAGATTGATCTCAGTAACAATCTTCTGTCTGGTTCAATACCTTCAGAGATTGGCAATTTGAAGATTCTGAATTTACTTCTGTTGAAAGGTAACAAGTTCGGTTCTTCAATCCCAAGTTCACTTTCCCTGCTGAAATCTCTCAATGTTCTTGATCTTTCGAAGAATCGTTTGACCGGCAAAATCCCAGAGAGTCTCTGTGAATTGTTGCCAAATTCCATCAACTTTTCACATAATCAACTTTCTGGACCAATCCCAATTTCATTGATTCAAGGAGGGTTGTTTGAAAGCTTTTCAGGCAATCCAGGTCTTTGTGTTCCAATCCATGTTCAAAATTTTCCCATATGTCCACACATTTACAACCAAAAGAAGCTAAATTCAATGTGGGCAATCATTGTTTCAGCCATTTTCATCACAATCGGAGCTCTCCTATTTCTTAAACGCCGTTTAAGGAAACAAAAAGCTGTAATAGAACACGATGAGACCGTATCTTCATCATTCTTTTCATATGATGTGAAAAGTTTCCATAGAGTATGTTTTAACCAACATGAGATCCTCGAAGCAATGATCGATAAGAACATTGTCGGCCATGGAGGGTCCGGCACGGTTTACAGAATCGAACTGAAAAGCGGAGAGGTTGTTGCAGTGAAGAAACTATGGAGTAAAACAGCCAAAGACTCGTTTTCAGAAGATCAGGTGATTTTCAACAAAGGATTGAAGACTGAAGTTGAGACTCTTGGAAGCATAAGGCACAAGAACATAGTCAAACTGTACAGCTACTTCTCAAGTTTCGATTGTAACCTGTTGGTATATGAGTTCATGCCAAATGGGAACCTTTGGGATGCTCTTCACAAAGGATGGCTCCATCTTGACTGGCCAATTAGGCATCAGATCGCCCTTGGGGTGGCTCAGGGCTTGGCTTATCTTCATCATGATCTGATGCCACCTATTATTCATAGGGATATCAAATCAAAAAATATACTATTGGATGTTAATTATCAACCCAAAGTTGCAGATTTTGGAATTGCCAAGGTTTTGCAAGCAATAGGAGGGAAAGATTATACCAACACTGTCATTGCAGGCACCTACGGTTACTTGGCACCAGGTAAATACTCTGATTCATCTTCATTTCAATTAGATACTATATAATTCACTTTAAGTTTACATCCATATCAAACGATAACTATTTGACAGAATATGCATATTCAAACAAAGCAACAACAAAGTGTGATGTGTATAGTTACGGAGTGGTGTTGATGGAACTAATAACTGGTAAGAAACCAGTGGATTCTGAATTTGGAGAGAACAAGAACATTGTTTACTGGGTTTCAACGAAGCTGGACATAAAAGAAGGTGTGATGGAGGCCTTGGACAAGCGAGTGTCCGGTTCGTTTAAGGATGAGATGATTCAGGTTCTAAGAACCGCCATGCGTTGTACATGCAAGAACCCATCCCAACGTCCAACAATGAACGAGGTTGTCCAACTGCTGATTGCAACAGATCCTTGCAGATTAGATTCTTACAAGCGTTCAACAGATAATACCAAAGATGCATCAAATGGCACAAAAATAAAGAACCAATCGGATGTGTGATGACGGTGTATGCTGGTGAATTAACATAGGTTCTATAGAATAGTAGGGTCTCCCAAAGTATTATTGAAAGGCTACGAATAAAATGGCTTGAAGATTCTCTCTCTTTTCTTTGGATCTTGTAAGGAACTTAATCAGTATAACTTCTTTATGACAACGCGTAGCATCTGAATCAAATCATTGCATGGCTTTTTCATAACTTTTTTTCAACAAAAAAATTCTCTTTTTTTAGGGTTATCCAGAATAAAAGAACACTTTAAAATAGGAGTTTTTTAAATTAAGTGGTGATTATAAAGTAATATATATTCTAAATTCTCTCCATCAATTGACAATAAACGTTCAATTATTCTTGCCGTAGCTAGTGCTCAATACCTCTATAAATAATAATAATTTCTTTAATTACATAAGTTGTTTTATGCTAAAGAGGCTTTATTGTAGGATCCTAAGTGGGGTTCTTGATTGATTCTGATTATAAAAAGTAAGGCATGTTTTTTTATGCGGGTTTAATATTTCTAATCTTATTTTATTCATATTCGAATATAGTAAATGTGTATATATATCTTATATAAATATATTTAATATTTTAATATAAAATATTCTTAAAATGTTAAAAAATCAAATAAGAGAAAGATAAATTATTGATTGAGAAGCATCTTTGTCTCGACATTCAGGTTAGGGACAGACAAGAAAGCATAAGCCTTTATTTGCATATATATTGCCTTTTTCCTATTTCAGATATTTCTTCGCAAATCGTAATTATTTGATTGAAGTATATGCTTGATTCACTGTAAGTAGTGAGCCATGAACATCCACTCACAAGTTGGAGCACCCTTTAGTTAATTAAATCTGTTTTGGTGGAGAAACATTCATGCCTGCCAAATTTGATGATAATTCCAAGAGTTTAATTAGAGTCTTCATTTATCTCTTGGAGAATTTAAGAAAAACCAAAAGTAATTAATTATTTAATGAATTATCCAAATAAAATTTCAATTTATTTGAAATTCGAATTGGATGGTAATTATCCGTAATAGGTAAATTTGAATCAACATTTATCTTATGTATTAATTCAAAGTTTCATTATCTGATTAATTATCCACAAATGAATGCAAAAATACGTGTGCATATACTTGGGTGTGTTTTCTCAACTTTGTGAGTGGTTCCAGGGACCCGAAGAAGAATAAAAAAAAATACAATTTCTTTAGTTGCATGGTGGAGAGTCCATGAAGAAAAGTGGAAAGCGATGATCAATGAAATTGTTCTTAACCAAAAAGACAAACTATATTAAAGCAAACTTGCTCATTCCAATAAATAGAAGAAGAAGCAAATTAACAAACAGTAGGCATGCAAAACATTGAATACATTCATTTAAATCAATGACCATTGAAGTGAAAACCACATGAATTCTTCTCACAGAGTACAGTTTGTACAAGGGTGAAAAGAAGACACCTTTACCGAAACAAATGGCAAATAAAGTTATGAGGAAGTGGAGACAGCGACCATTTTCAGAATGATGTGTTGCTGATTGAGTTGGCTGAAATGACAAATGAGAGGGGAAGTAAATTCCAAAATGTGAGATAATGAACTGATTGAAACCAGCGCTTTGAAAATTGGATAGATCGACCGATTCAACCGAAAATCATTGTTTGATCTGGTTCATTCTACAATGGTTAAATCGTTACTAGTGAACCGGAAGGAATCGTTGAACCGGTTGAAAACCGGTTCTGTTTTTTTTTTCTAAAAAAAAAAATAAATCAAACGACGTCGTTTGTTAAACGGGCAAAGTCGAACTTGAAAACTTTAAAAGTAAGCTCAACTCGACTCAAAAACTCACAAGCTAAAAATTATCAAGTTCAACTCGAACTTAAAATAGAATATTGAAACTTGAACTAAAAAATGCTCAAACTCGAAAAAAAAATTAGAAGCTCGATTGAAGCTAGAAATTCGAGCTTGAGTAAAGCGAAAGAATAGTTCGCTCTGTGCTCACCAAAATGCTCTATGATTTTGAATGTCAAATTACCTCTATTATTTATAGAAGTTAGTTGGGATGCTCTTCTATGTTTCTTAGCCATGTTTGATTATTTTGTTTTCATATTTTTACTCTTTAGACTTTTGTGATACTCTTATATGTTTCTTAGTCATATGAGATTTTTTTAAAAAAAATTAAACCAAACGACATCGTTTGTTATAATTTTTTTAGCCCCAAATTTATTTTTTTGATTATAGTTATATAATTATATATATTATTTAATATGTTTTACTTTAAATATTATGTTGTAGTTGATTTGAATCATTTTGTTTCACTTGATTTTATGGTTTTTAACTTATATATATGTTATAACTTGCTTTGAATATGACTTGTGATATAAAAACTGTTTTTTATTAAATGTTTTTTATATTTTTATTTAATTTTTTAAATAATTAATTAATTATGACGTCGTCCGGTTATTCCGACCAGTCTGACCGATTCGACCGGTTAAACTAGTGAACCGATAACACGGCCGGTTCGTTGACCGATCTGGTTCTAAAAACCATGATTGAAACACACCGAAAAAGCCCCAATCACATAAGAAAAATCTGAGCTAGTAGTTTTATATGATATAGTGTAGGGGTGTGCAAAATTACTCGACCCGGTTGACCCGACCCGACGACCCGCCGACCCGGATCTAAAAAAATCGGGTAATTCTCTAAAAAAAGTACCCGGCCCGATATTTCCCGGGTCGGGCCTGGGTCACAAAATCTAGTTTTTCCGGGTATCCGGTTACCCGGTTAGTTTTTATTTTTTTATTTTTTATATATAATTATATAAAATATAATGAATTATTTATATTATGGATTATTATATTTTGTATTTAGAACTTTTAAATTTTATGTTCGAATATTAGAGTATGTAATTCGAAGTTTCAAAAATTTAAATTTGTGTATATATATATATTTTTTAAATTAATAATTTGAAAATAAAAAATAAAAAATTGGGTATCGGGTACCCGTAACATCCGGATCGGGACACGTGCCGATAAATCGTCGACCCGAAAGTTTCGGGTACCCGAAAATCCGGGTATCCAGATTTGCACGCCACTAATATAGTGTAATGAGTGGTGGCTTAACCCTGTTGAAGTGCTTTTAACAATGTTTTCCATGAAAGAGTAGTAGAGTTCACATTTGAAAGTGGTAATGGCAATTGAACTGGGTACAAAAATATCACTGTAATACCCTAATTTTGTCCGGGACATTTAAATCTATTTGAAGATTAACGAGATTTAATTTGAAGGAATTTGTGACCGACGAGGAACTAATTAAAGTGATGGATCGTGGAAGCTTGAGGTGTTTAATTGAATTAGAATTGTACACGTTGAAATTCAAGATATAAATCGAAGCCTAAGCATAATCCAAAATCCAAATGTAAGTGTCTAAGGTCCATTTACAAAACAAGCCCAAATCGGGCCTAATTATAAGCAACCCAACCCGGAGCTCAAGAACAGGCCCAAGTTCAATCCAATTATAGCCCAGATCCGGTTGCAGCTACCCATATGCTGCCAATAGATCGTGTATCCCACGTGAAGGAGACACCCAACAGCAGACTCCTCCCACGTGCACCCAATGCGAAGCACTCATCCACTACAGCAGATCATGCCTCCCAAGGAAGCCCATGCTACTGCCAAGCACCACGCCCGTGAAGACTGAGACATGGCCTGGCTGCCCATGCTCCACAACGCCTAAGTGTCTCCCACGTGAAACGCATAACCGAGCGCCCACGTCAATATGAAGCAGCACTCCCACTGCATCAGTTTGTGCCGATCACTCCACTTACAACCTGGAACACCCGGTTGAAACATCACGTGAGGCCAATAACAACCCTCAACAGAAACCACCACGAGCTCACCATTTCCAACCCGTGCCCGTGCCTTCACCATTTCCAACCCGGGCTTACCATCCACCCACGTGAAGCGCGACAGACAAGGCTCGGCACCCCGAGCAAACACCACCAACAGCTCATGCCCATACCCTGCAACGCCCATTACTCCATTAGCAGGGATACACATAATTAAAGAGGAAGCAGAAAACAAAAGCAATTCTCGAGGCCATCGGGGAGAGCGTTTTCATCATCAACAAAAAGAAGGGAGCTTTAAAGGAAAATGGGAGGATTCATTACAAAAAGGAGGGGAGAGACCAGAGAGGAAGGCCATTCGGAACAGGGGTAACCATTTGGAGCAGAAGGGGTCAGTGATCAATTGGAGAACAAGCAAAGAACATTAGAGCAGAGGAGGAGGTCACGAACAGCAGAAAAAGAAAGGGAAAATCAACAACAAAAAAGAAATCATCCACAACAAATCAACCATTGACATACAGTACGAAAAACCCTAATCTACCATCCATCGACGACAAACAGAAGAAGAAAGAAACACAAAGAAACCATTGAGAACGAGAGAACCACATCAGAAAACGACCATTAACAGTCCATAAAAAACAGAAAAAAATCAGAAGACAGAGAGGAGAGCGAACACGAACAACCGGGTAGAACCAAAAAAACCAACAGTGATAGGCTTGGTTTTTCTACAGAATAGGGGATTTTCAACAGAGGGGGAAAAAGCACTCAAGCAGAGAAGAACAAGGAATCGGCAACCTCAAAAAAAAATTATGAAAAGCTTTACCTTGGGTTCTTAACGGCGCAAGCTCCGTAACTGATTGGCAAATCCCAACGGTGGTTGGAGGGGAAAGATTCTCCGATTCTTGTCTTCTAAATCCGGTTCGTGGAGGTCCTGGTACAGAAGAGAACCCTCGAGTTTCATCCTTTTTGTGTTGGATCTTCATCAGAGAACCCCAAAGCAGGGCCTTGGTCGTGGGTGGCCATGGTCTCCATATTTTCTTCACGGAAAGTGTAAGGCGAAGGCCATGGAAGCCTTTGGTGGCTCTCGGCTGTGAAAGGAGTGGAGAAGAGGGAGAACGGCGCAGAGGGGTGTGTGTTTACAAATGAAGATTAGGGTAAGTTTTCATCTAAAGTTTATTTATATGAATTCTTCAAAACGGCGTCGTGTAGAACCTGGGTCTGTGATGGGTTCAATTCGTAAAGGCTCCCTTTAATTTGAATGCGTTGTGATTTGGTC